TTTAAAGCGAAAAACCGCTGACCCGTAACCGTGACGGGCGGCGCGCAGGTATATATTCTCGCGGGAACTTAATTAATCTCATTAAAAATACGCGGGGCAATTTGTAGCCATCTCACGCGCGTAATTAACTCGGGAGACTCGCTGCCGATAAAAACCGGTCTCGCGCCTCCCAACATTCGGACATGTTAATACGCCCCGCGTAATGCATAAACGTCATGCGATGCCCCCTCGCCCGCAAATTGCAGTAATAACGCGCACAATGCCGGACGCGCGGGGGGATGCCGGGGAGGGGGGGAGTCGGAGGAGCGCGAGCGATACGCTCGCTCTTATTTTCGCGTTCCTTTCGCGCGCCACGACACCGCGGCGCATCCATTTCTCACGGATTAAATGCGCCGCGACCGTCCGGCGTTATATACTCGCGATACGAGCGAGGAACGTAGTACGCGACGGCACCACGCACGGGGAGTCATTTTATTTCAATTTCATGGTAATCTGCCATCGAAGCCGCGCTCGTCCCGCGCACTGTCCTGAATTAGCTTCGTTATTAAGCGATCGTTATTATGCGAGTGGAAAATAAAACGATTGCGCGCGAACCAGGCGCAATCGGAATATAATCATCCGATTATTTAGCCGATTATTATTAATGATTACGATTTGTATCTGATCTATTGTTCGACAATTAATCCGAGTCGCAATTCTAGTTCCTTTGATCTTGTGGTTTTTAAGTTCTAGAAGATTGTGATAAGTGTGTGTTTTGTATGTATTGAGTTTTTACTTTGTGTTGAGTAGCAGTAAATAAACAATTTCTTACTTTAAGTTTTTTAAAATAAGATGTCTACTATCTGGGAAAATTTGGAAAATCTCTTTGAGGGAAGAATTTCTCAGAGAATTTGTTTATGCTTTGAAAAATTAGGAAATATTTAAAAAAAATTATATTTATAAAAAATTTTATTGAAAATCAAAGTTATTATTATCAAAGTTATTACTTTTGTTTAATAAAGATAAAATTTATTTTAATCGTATTGAAGTTAAATCTCTTATCAATTATGCTTTATATAATTTTTCGTTTGTAGTTTTTGAAAATAAAATTTGTAAATTTTATTTAATATAAAATATTTATTTTTTAAAATCCTTACTTAGATACTTACAAAATATTTCATAAATTTATTGAAATCCGATTGACGCTTAATTTAATTTTACGAATGGGAAATATTAAAACCTTTGTACAATAAATATTATATTTATTTAACGTACATTTAAAAATACTTTTATTTTACCTGAAATTTTTGATAAATTGCCTCGAACGTCAGGGAACTCTTTGAGAATTTTTTTTGCGTTTGAGATAAACGCAAAAAAAACGCCTTGAAAATGCAAGATTCAGTCTGATCTTTCAAACATTATGAATTCTGGTAGAGAATTTATAAAGGTGAAAACATCGGCCTGAGAAAAACAATGTTCTACATAGTTGCTTTATCTTCAACATCAAACAAACTCGTATACTCCCATTTTCATTTCCCTTTTTTCCGCCGGAATTTCTCGCGTTCGGGTGAAAAACCACGTACCGTGTCGCTTCTGCACCGACGTTATTTGTGCATATGGCGTTGAAGGTCTTTTCAAGCCGCGACGGGGAGGAAAGGAGAAGGCGAAAGGAAGAAAGAGAGAGACGGCCAGCGCGGCCGAGCAGCTCTACACGTGTTTCGTGTCATGAATATTTGTCTTTCGCATAAACTCCGCGAGATCAAACGGCTGTCACGGTGGTCCAGAAATTGCATCACGTGCTCCGTGCCGCCTACACATCGAAGAAATATCCGATGCACCTCTTAATACCCGCCGCACCGGTTATCGGAATATCACATCGTATCGTCCCATACCGTATCATCGCGGCATTAGCGTCTCTCCTTCGCGTTATCTCCTCGTGCTGACGCCGAGAAAAGCGTGATATACGTCGCGGATTGTCATTACTCCGCGCTCGCGGTATGAGAATTTCCTTCTTTACGGCCGTCACTTACGTGGTGATTAAGGACACGACGGTGTCGCAATCGAGCCTTCCTTCTCGCCGTAATCGAGCCGCGAATTAGCGATCGTCGGTGGAAAAGCGAAGCCCGCTCGATCAAAGGAACATACGCCGACGCGAACGATCGGAAAGTAAATGGCATCCCGAGAAACCTGCGCGATTTCTTTCTCTCCGTCGGATTTATACGCGTTTCGAAATAAAAAAAAAAAGATCTCTCGGCGTTTCTTATCTTCCAAGCTTACGAGTTACATTTATCAGGAATTCTCAGGGTGCGATCAAATCCCTTCCTCGCTGTATTAGCATTGTTTAAGAGAGCTAGAAAAAAGTATGAAGTAAATTAAGTAAATTATTATATATTTGTATAAAATAACTTTAAAGTATATAATTTATTGGATTTATTTATGATTTAGACTTAATCATTGAACTTCAAATATGGATTATTTTTTTATTCTTTTTTTAATATATTCCAAATTGACAGTTAATCTTTGCATTGTATAAATAATGAAACATGAATTTTATTTTCAAATTTTTTTTAAAAGGATTATTTGAAAGATTCACCTTTAAAAATTTATTTTTTTTTTATATATTAATCAAGCATGAGATATAAATTACTTTAGTTTTTTTAAATTTACCCTTGTAGTCTTAACGGCGATATTTAGGAGATTGGAACTATACAAAGTACTTACTCTTAGTAAACTACTTGTAGATAATTATTTCATTAAATTATGTTTGGGGATAGTTTTATCACATTTCACTAGACCCTTTGGACTCGTAAATAATCTTTATTAATATTGATATCGTATTAATATTAATACTAATTTTTGTATTGATATTTTTTTTTATTGATATATATCACAAAAGATTTTTGTATTTAACTCATTCCTATGTCTGTATTAAAATTTATCGAGTTTTCAAACCTTCCTTTAACCTAGCATTATATTATTTACGCGTCTTTATTATTAACAGCGTCTGTTTAGGGTTACACAACGGGTACGATGACAAGTCTCGTAAAATCTGAACATTGCACGTTCTCGATAGCAACATCGTTACTCCACAAAATCCACGAGATTAGCACGCCGTATCGTTTGTCTCCCCGCGTCGGGCCGCGATTGTCACCCATCGTGTAGACACAAAATCGGAGAGAATTCTCTTCTCCGAAGAGCCAGACGATATACGGCGGCCGTTTGATTTACCTTTAAGTCTTGGTGAATGCACTTTATGCGAATCTTCGCTTCCCGTCAGCGGCTTTTAGTCGCATTGACTGCCGCGCGAATTAATTTCGAGACCCCGAATTGCACGAAATAAACGCTGGATTTTCCACGAGACGAGAGTCGACGGGAAAACGAACGCGAAGGGAAACGAACGATTTTATTCTCAAGTTCAAGCATCTCGAGGCCGAAATCTCAGCTCGACGGGGTTCGTGACGGAGGAGATGCGCGTGTCGCATCTCCGCCGCGCAGCGGCTTTATTCACGTTTTAGCAGATGACAGCGGAATTTAATGCCGCTGCTGTTTATTCTCCGCTCGGGCATAGGATATAGCGTTTTTCGGGACGTGTGGCGTCGTTTCGTTGTCACCGGCGAAGAAAGAGTGCTTCCCGCGAAATCGCTCGCGGGGCGCGCCGTCCGCCGTCGCTGCGAAAATACGCGACATACACACGTATTTTCGCGGCGAAAATAAATTCACCGCGGCGCGGATTCCCGCCGTCGCTTTTCTGGTCCCACCCGCAAACGGAGGAGAATTTCTGGAGACGTTCCAAGGACTTTAAAAACGACGACCCTGAGAGGAGCGTGCGGGTCATGACTCACGGGATCGTTGACGATCGCGAACGACGCGACGACAACAACCGCGACCGAATGACAACGCGAATGATCGAAATGTCGTTCGGGTTTATTTCCGAAGAGGCAACACGGAACGGAAATCTGTCTCGTGGCTGTGAAAGTTATTGTACCGCCGAAGGCAATTTACAATGCGATAGCATTGTCACTGTTCGAGTCGGTGATTTAATCGTCAGGCGCCGATAAACAAGCGCTCCGAGATGCTTTTCATAAAAATCGAGATTACGTTAGCGCCGTCAGCCTCTGAACGATCTTTTTTACTTTTTTTTGTGTGTATTGTTCCCGACAGCTGCTCAGCCGTAAGAATTGCACGCGAGAAGTCGTAAACCCGCGACACTTTATTCCCGATGCATCCCCGAGTCGAAGAAACTGATGTGAGAACGTTGGCGAGGAAAAGTGCCAACAAATCGTTTGATGGACTTAAGTCGTCGCACTGTTGCGAAATACGAGGCAGTCCGCCGTGATTCACCTTTCGCGGATGGGCAGCGCAATAATTATTCCGTGACGCAACGTTAATTTCCTTCAGGTTGAAACAATCCCTCCCGTATTTTAAAACTCACCGCGTTTCTTTGAACTCTCGCTCCGGAGCAAAAAATTTAATTACGTTCACAACCCGGTTCCTCGATCTCCGCGCGTTTAAATGAGAACGCAGAATGTAATTTACTCGTTTGAAATTGTACTGTTTTAATTGCATTGTTTTATAAAATACGTTGATTTATAATCTACTTTAAATGCCGCTTGAAACGTGGGAAACGTGGAGTGTAATATAATAAATGCGTCGCGATTTATCAAAATGGAATAATTGCGAATTAACTGCGAAGCGCGTAAATATTTTTGTTAGCGCGAAAGTATTCGCTCTGTCGTGACTTCTTTCTCCCGCGTGAATGGCATGCAACGATAAATCGCGTAACAATTTTCTTCGGCCCGATACTCTGGATACTCCACCGCCGACTTTTCAAATTCCCCCAAGGCCTCGGATTAAATTCGAACGCGGCCGGAAACGTTCGCGGCCGCGTTCAGAATCTGGAGAGGTACTCTTCAGAGATTCGAAATCGGATTCCGTCTTGGAATAGGACAATCGCGCAAAACTGCAGCATAACGGCGTGTAATGCCGCGTTGTCATTATCTGAAGCGAAACTCGTCTTTCAGCTGCGAGGGATGCAAGGGATTCTTCAAGAGGACCGTGCGTAAGGATCTGTCGTATGCCTGCCGCGAGGAGAAGTCCTGCATCATCGACAAACGGCAGAGAAATCGCTGCCAGTACTGCCGGTACCAGAAGTGCCTGGCGATGGGGATGAAAAGGGAGGCGGTGCAAGAGGAGCGTCAGCGCACTAAGGAGCGAGATCAGAGCGAGGTGGAGAGTACGAGCAGTTTGCACACGGACATGCCGATCGAGCGTATCCTCGAGGCGGAGAAACGGGTCGAGTGTAAGATAGAGCAGGGAAATTACGAGGTAAATATATTCACGCCCGAGATGAAGATTTTGCGTATCGATGCGTGTCGTACTCGCTTGTAGCTCGTATCCCCTCCACTCCCCCCTCCCCCTCCCCCACGGTATCCCGCCCCTTCCGACGCGGGAGGAATGGAGAAAGGAAATTTGTAGTAATGAATAAGTAGAGAAAGGAGATATGTAGTAATGAAATGTTTTTTGGGTTAACAATCGCGAGTTTTATAGAATAGAAATCTCCTAGATCATAATTGTTAATTAATAAACAGCTTATATGTTTTTCCAAAACAAGATGAAAATATTTGATTTTTCACTTTGTTTTAGAATAATTATTAATTTCGTACGCGGAAAAATAGTTTTGTTGAAGTATCTAAAAATTGAGTCGTATGAATTTTAAAAGATAATTGATGATAATAACAATAAAAATTTTGGATATTTAAACAACCAATTTAAAACATTCTGTATAATGGTCCATCGAAATTATTTTTTAGATCTGGATCCAAATTTTTAGATACTTCAATATTATTCTTTTAGATTGTAATATTCAAGATAGCGTGTAAAAAACAGGCGCGTGAGACCTTTATAAAAATGCAGCTCAAACGTAGTTTTCTTGAGATTTTTGTAGGAATATATTTGCCGTTCTACGAAGAACGGTCTTGGCGTAATGATCATGCCAAACGTCACGATTCTTCGGAGGAACGGCGCCCCGCTTTCTATCGAAGCGCATCCCTCTGCCGCTAATCCGCCACTTTCTATAATGCGCAGAATGCACATCTTTGCGCCGCGAGTACCGAACAAATGTACCAGCTAGTGACATGGGCGAAACACATCCCGCACTTTACGTCGCTGCCGCTGGAGGATCAGGTGCTTCTGCTCAGGGCCGGCTGGAACGAGCTGCTAATAGCCGCCTTCTCCCACCGTTCCATCGAGGTGAAGGACGGCATCGCTCTGGCAGTGGGCAACACGGTGTATCGAAATTCGGCGCAACAGGCGGGCGTGGCCACGATATTCGATCGCGTGCTCTCGGAACTCGTGTCGAAGATGCGCGAAATGAAAATGGACAGGACCGAACTCGGGTGTCTTAGGTGACTATCGAGAAATAATCCTCTTAACAATTTCTCAATAGAATTCCTACGATGGACTCGACGTGTGAAAGCTGTCACGACGTGAAAGAATGTCTATAAATATATACTAAATATATCCTTCTTTTAATTTTGGAGCGTTCATGACCCAGTTTTTTCTTTTTTTTTTCTTTTTTTTTTTACAACAAATTAGACAAAGCAGAATAGTCCAGTTGACGAATGGTTTTTGATTTAATATCAATGTCAATATGCAGATCTATTATCCTCTTCAATCCCGATGTGCGAGGCCTCAAGTCCGTCCAGGAGGTCAACCTGTTGCGCGAGAAGATCTACGCCGCTCTGGAGGAATACACTCGCGTAACCTACCCGGATGACCCCGGTAGATTCGCCAAACTGCTGCTTCGCCTGCCATCCATCCGTTCGATCGGTCTTAAGTGCCTGGAGCACCTATTTTTCTTCAAGATAATCGGCAACGGGTCGATCGATAACTACATCTTGCAAATATTGGAGACACCATCGGATCCTTAGGAGCAGAAGGTGTGCCGCGTTCTGGGGCACACCGATATGTAATAAAGAAAAAAGCAATAAGAAGAAGAAGAAGAAGAAGAAGAGAGAGAGAGAGAGAGAGAAGAGAGAGAGGGAGAGAGAGAGAGAAGAGCAGAAGCTCTGGTTGCAATCACTTAATCGCAGAAGCGAGAAAGGACGACGACGAAGAAAGGCGAGCGAAATAAGTAAGCGAGAGTCGAACCGGAGTAATTACGGGCGGTGAACTCACGCGAGAAGTAGCATCGCGAAATAAACGCAAGTCGTCCGATGACGTAGTAGAGAAAGGGAAGGGAAGAGAAGGAAAGACGCCTGAAGCATCTCCACCCGTTGCATACACCGGAAGATTCTCTGCAAAGTGGGAGTCAATCAGGGAAAACGCGGGCGTGCAATCGCTTTAAAGAGCCTGCTCGCAGGCGGAGAAATTAAAAAACTACCTTAGCGCAACGTCCTTCTCACGACGTTTTCGTCCTTTGCATTTTCTTTCCTCTCTCCTTCTCCCTCCTTCTCCCACGCTGCGGTGCGCGACGTTTAGACTTTAATCTTTTCCGGTACGCGCGAGGAGAGAGCGAAGGGCCGTTACGAGCTGAGAAAACAAAAAAAAAAAAAAAAGAGGGAAAGAAAGAAAAGGAAACTT